TATCAACTGCAATAGAGAAGATGATGAGATAAATCAGCAAGTAGATGATGCGACAGTGGAATTTCGGAGACCTTAAAGGCACGGTCCCATTCATTTGATGTTCAGACGCCTTCTTTGAACAAGGTAATCCTGCCTGGAGGATGTACTACACTCGCATCTCAAAAAAATGCGTGAGGGAAGCGCGCTGACGCGGCGACGAGGCCACGGTCCCGCCCACCGGCGACGATAACGCCCAAATTTCATTTTTGAAGGCTTCTTAATGGTGAAGTTGTTCCGCTACTAGCTCTCCTTTCGGAATGATGAGAGTGAGGCGACGAAGTGATGGCACCGGCAAAACGGAATTCGCCCAAACACACCCTTTCTTCGCCTTATGCATGTACACACGGGTTTCGGTATGGGGTTCTGCATGAGGCATTTCGGGCTGATCTTTCCTGCCTTTTTTCACTTTTGGTTATATACCAGCTTATCCTCAGAATTTCAGGCGCATACTCCCTTCAATGGAATGCGTAACATAGACAACACAAGAGAACACTCATCTCTGCTCATCATAGACATAGCAGAAAAGAGCCGGGCGGATAGATGAAACTACCAAGAAAGAAGCAATGCAAAAGTTAAAAGAAACTTAGGGTGGGAAAGAAGATGAAAATGAAGGACTGAAAAGAAATGGACTGCAATGAATTAAAGAAAGTGAAAGGGATGTGCTGAAAAAGGAAGTGTAGGAGATAAAGCATGAAAAGAGCAGTGGACAGAGTCAATCAAATGCGAGATAAGCGAAATTGAAAGAGGAACCAATGGACAGATTGGGCGATGCTTAGATGTCGCATTTTGATGAAACCTGTAGACTCTTGTCAAGTGTAAACGAAGTTTCAGCCACTGCATAGTTTTACACAAATCTACTAGTCTCCACAGGAGGCATTGGCAGTGATCGGTGGGACCATGAAATACCCCTACCAAGCAGGCTTTCGCCACAGGTCGACTTATAGAGAATGGAGATACATTACTCTGCTTTGTCGAAGGTTGCAACCAAAAGAAACTTAGCAGAAAGTGATTTTTTTCATGCATCCAAAAATCAAGATTAGCACAACTGAAGCAAGATTTTCATAGCAGAATAACGAGAGAGAAAATAACGGATAACAAAAAAGTTATGATGGATTACCTGAACAGCAGACAGTGAAATAGTCGCCGAATTCCTCCCGGATCCAACGAATCATATCCAAGGCTCGATACTTGTAGACTGGGACCCCATCAGTCTCCTGAAAGAATAACTGTAAACCGCACCACCAGGCAGGAAAGCATGTAAAAACAGAAAACCCGGAAGCCGTGGTAAATAATCTCATATTGTAAGACAATGGGAAAAAGATGACAAAGTTGCGGTAGGTTTTGAAAGTAAGGCAACCTCCAAAGTGCAGTTTACTGTTACCTTCTTAGAAATCTCGGTGATTCTTATTCATTTATGCGCCCAGTCCGCGCGCTAACAAATCAAAGACCAGCTGAAAGAACACTAAGAATAAGGCTGTACGACGAGGCACATTTCAGCTATTTGCCCCCACCAGCTATAAGGCACATAGGTAACAAAAAGAAAAATCTCTGCAACTAAAGTAATCTAACAAAGAAAGGCATACAAAAACCATGAGTATGCTCCTAGCTCAACCTCATTCGGCAATGGTGCCCTTACGCCACAGATTGGGATCGTAATCCTTTGCCGAAACTCCGGTAGGCTCATGTACTTTGGCAATGGCTAGGAAACGAGACCACTTGGTTTGGGATACCTGATAGTGAGTTCATACCTCGCGATTTCATCGCGCCAAGCGATTGGGTCGCTCCGAGCTCCCCTGGCAGCATGGTTGATCGATGGAGCGCCCACAATCTTGGTCGCGCCATGGGAGCAACTCAGTCGCGAAGTATGAACACACTCTGCGTGACGACCAAGTTATTGTATGTGATGGGTAAAAGATTCAACTAGCCGTTATTAGGCATAGAAAAAAACGCGAAATCACAGCCAAGCAAGATTAAATTCTTAATATTTGTCATACCATTATGGGAAGGTCTCCTCGTAGAGCGAGAATGTTGCGGAAGCCCGACGGATTTGCTTTGTTCAAGATGCTTTATGGTTTGTTCCTTGGAGTATTGTGCACATGTCATATGAAGCATTGTGTCTACTCGACAGTAATCAAGACATCCAGCAGCAATGGACGACGAAGATGTCTCCTTGTTCATGTTAGCTGAAAAACACCGGTCGTAACTCAGCATCAGCCAGGCAAAATATCAGCTTTTTCAAGGATTTCGGACAGTTTTT